AAGTTGATTGGAAGATGTGAACCATGACCCTACAATAAGGGAGTGGGAAATGCTTGGAATGTATATGCGTAACGGAAGAGAAGCAGACCTAAGCATTTCCTCCATGCTGTACTGACGTCTCTGTAACCTTAATAAATGCTTTTAGGAGAAAATATGCCTGAAAGTCCTTTTAAGTGTTTCGTTAATCAGACACATGACAGCAGGCTGTCAGGAAAAAAAAAATTCTCCAACCTGGGATCAACTAGCTGTTTTACTTTGGAAAGTAAATTAGGCACTTCCTCCCACCAATATTTTTATATACAGTATGTATTTAATTGTGGTATCCTCAAATGTGCTGATATATATCTTGTACATAATTGTTGCCATTTTTGGCTGCTTAACAGCATTTTCAGCATTTGTAAATACTAATTGATCTTAAAGTTTAAGGCTGAATTTAAACATTATTGATGTACTTGAAAGAAAATGAAAGTTCTATTTGGCAGTTTTTGTAATATGTACATAGAATTGTTCTAATTCCCACAAAATACTTAGAAATCAGAAAGCTGGTTAAAACACCTATTTCCTGTAATTAATTATACATGTACTCAAGAACCAGAATGACTAAATCAATTTTTGTATTTTTTTACATGATCTTAAAGGATTTTTTGCTTCTTATGTCTGTTTGGGTTCATGATTAATTTAGCCTTTATTGAATATAATAGTAAAAATTATTCTAAGTTCTGATTTCTGCAGTAAGGGCCAAGTAAAGTCTGAAATTACATTAGAGAAGTTATATTTTAGGGGGGTAAAGTTAGAAAAAATTATAACTGGTATAATATAGTTACATTATAACTTATATTGATATGAAATGTGAAAAATGCATTGGTCCCTTGGAAATATGGTCATTAAAATTTTGTGGTTTTTTCCTAGAAAAGAAATTAAGCAATTGCTGTCTGAATTAGATGAAGAAAAAAAGATTCGGCTACGATTACAGGTGCTTGTATATGAATGAATAAATGAATCAGCTTTATAACTGAATGGATTTTTAATGAAACCTTGTATCTCATAATCCAATACATTTTGTATAATATAAAACAATTTTTAATAAATAGGAAAAAGAGGAAATAAAACAGAAAAATATTGGAAATTTTATTAAGTTATATTAAGAAGTTTTATAATTGCCAAGAAAATATTATCCAAAAGCATTTTGAGAGGCTTAAAATCAGTAAAATTTAAGTCAGTGTTTCATTCGGATAAACCTTTCATCATTGTATTATTTTCTAATCATTAGGACTATTTTCTATACAGAGAAAATATGTTGGTGTTTTCTGTATGCTTTTCTGGATAGGCAAATAATAGCTTTATAGAACAGTTTGTGTGGAAAACACAGCATGGGCAAATATTTTTAAATTTTCTTGCAATATTCCTTTTCCAAGCAGCACCTTTGAACTAAAAAAGAAAAGAAAAATCTAGCCCTGGATACCTTGTGTCAGATTTTCCCCTTATAGTCTCCTTCCTAAAACTCTTTCAATGTGCTCGTGATTTAAGTCAAACTAATATAAATGATTTCTCATTCTCATTGATATTGTGTCAGTTTATACATACTGATTTTATTCCCTTTCTTAATAATTTCTCACATTAAATTAAATCGCATGTTGAACTGAACAGTGAATTAAAAGCGTCTAAAAGCTTGATAAAATAACTAGCTGGCTATAATTTAATCTGTGTTTCTTCTTTTTAGATGGAAATTAATGATATAAAGAAAGCTCTTCAATCAAAGTGAATTCTGGATGAATGGAATGTTGTATTAATTCACAGTGACAGAGACTTATGCCCCAAACAAAATAACTTTGTGCCAAATGATTAAAAGATCTGCCTACATTTCTTTGTTTGGACAACTAGCACAAGAATTTAATAGCACAACACAAATTCCAGTGAAGAACAAATTTTTTTATGTGATACACTTTCTTGAGATGGCACTGGTTGTGACTGAATTTTTTCTTATTGTGCTAAAATCTTCTCTGCTTCACGTTCACAGGCAAATTGAAAACTCAGGCAGTTTAGTTCATAGTGGTACTATTTTAATGATATTTTCCATAAGTAAATTGTTTATCACTTTACAGGTTTCATGAGTTTGACTTTTTAAATTGTCTTTTGTCATAGACTCTTAAAATATTTGTATTGTATTGCATATATCCAGAAATGAATGTGGCTATTGGGTGAGGGGGGTTGTTTCTCTTAAAGCAGCTTAATGTGTGTTATTTTAAATACAATTATTTATGCAATCTTATCTCCAAAAATTAACTACAAGCTGAATCATAAGTTTGTGTACAAAGGGTATATTTAAAAAGAAAAATCTGGTCTTTGTAATGATTTGTGCCTTCTTTTGCCAAAAACGGATTGGAACTAGTTGTAGTCCAGAATTTAGAAATGTAGCTATCACAATGAGGCCTATCTATCCACTAGAGCCGGGGTGTCAAACTCAATTTCATTGAGGGCCGCATCAGCATTATGGTTGCCCTCAAAGGGCCAGTTGCTGTCCCCTTCTCTCCCTCAGGCTTGCCTCACTGACATCTCCCTATTGCCTTCTTCCCCCCCCCCCTGCACACCTCCTTCCTGCCAAAACCCCTCCTTTTATATCCTCTCCTCTCCTCCCCCATGCGTTCACTCATTACCCGGCTGGCCTTTTCACCTAGTACTCATCAGCTGGAGCTGCATGCAGTGATTCTGGGATCCCCGCTAAGCCCTGGCTGCCCCAGCTGACTGTTCCCCTGAAGACTGCATGCGGCTGCCAGCCACCCTCCAAGGCTGCCGGAAGCCCCGATCATCTGGAGCAGTGCACACCGATCCTGGGGCTCAGCAGAGTCCCAGTAACACCGCAGCTCCAGCTGACTCTCCTCCAGGGCTTTCTGGTTCTGCCTGCACTTCAGCTCACACCCCACCCCCCCAATACATACATACTCAAGTCACCTCCTCCTCCTAGTCTGCTTGCGGGCCAGATCTAAACACATCATGGACCAGATCTGGCCTGCAAGCCTTGCGTTTGACATGCCTGCACTAGAGGTTGGTCTTTCAGCATATTAACTGCTTGCTCATCAAAATCTTCAATTTTGATCTGATTTGATTCAGCTTGATGATGTAACAACCACATTGAGTTTGAGGCAGCTTTATTTTAACTAGTATCGCATATTATGATTATTCTGAGAATTCACTTTGCTTAAAGTCACTCAAACGTTAAACACCCACTTTTATCTCCAATTTTGCACATCTTGGGTGGACAGAACAGGCATCATCTAAGAGCAAACAAGGATAAAATAAAAATTAACAAGAGAAAATTATATTATTATATGCACAGAGAACTATGTGATATTAACCTCATTTAAACAATTGTAAGCCTGCAAATTTGGGATGAATGGTTTCTATACTGGCATCTTACCAAATGACTTATATCAAAGCAGTGTTTACATCTCTATACAGATAGTGAAGATTTCAGCTTTTAAAGGCAAAGGAATGTATATGTGTTTACATAATCTATGTGCGATCTTTGAAAAGCACTCGTAACAAAATTATAGCTGGATTTCTTATTTTCATAGTACATTAATAGTGCAATCCTGTGCATGTGTATTGAAATGGGTTTTGTTCAGTTCAGTAAAATATATTATCAGATAATGGTATGTAAGCTTGCAGCCTGATTTCACAATCCTAGTACCATTACTACATAACAAGCATTAAAAACAGTAAGACTCACATGTAGATAAACCTGCATAGGATTGCACTGAGTGTTCTTGAATAGCTGAGATATGTGTCCTGCTGAAATATTCATCTTTGGTTATATAATAGAATTCTAGTATTTCTCTTTTCACAGAGCTATGAAGTTTACATGAAATATCACATGGTGACTTTATCATATCAAATATAAACATTTAATATTTATCATTTAAATATCTACATTTAAAGTTGCTAACTTCTATTTGTTATCAAATAGGAGACTTAAAAGTATTGCCATGACACCCAAAAATGTCTTACAATTGTGTTTATTAATAGCTTCATATCAGGAAAGAACATTCAGGCTAGAGATTTAATAATGCATCCAAATACTTGTATCAGTCATGTATATTTTTTGTTACTAACATTGATACAAGCACACTAAGCAAAAATGTATCACTGTGATATCTTTCAGGATTTTAACATATTAGGATTTATGTGTTAAAATGACCAAATCATCTTGATGAGTGCTTTACATTGAAGCATGAAAGTAAATCATGGAACTAATTTCTTTGTCCTCACAGCATTCATGTAATAAACCAGTGTTAGCCCTTATTGTTTTACAAAACGAACTTGATTTCCAGTCATAACCTAAGAGTGTGGGACATTGTGCTGCAACAAAGAGGTCTAGGCAGTGTTATAGTGTTATAGACGCTAGCTTAAATAATTAAAGTGGACAAAAGGCTGTAGGACCTTGAAACGCCCTAAGTCCATGGTCAGGGCAATTCTTTATTGGCATGCCATTCTGAATGCTTTTGTGGGAATAAGTATTTTTACATGCAAATGCATGTGTACCATGGAAATTGGTAGGAAAGATTACTAAAAATACTGTGAGATGGAGGGCTGATGAGGCATTATTATTGCAGCAAAGAAACTTTTCTTTTGCATCAGATATTGCTGTCCTAATGAATATTTTAGGAGGAATATTTGGTTTCTTTGTGTGTCCACATCACTTTCCCTTGGATGTAGTAGTCTCTGTGTCATGGAATGTATTCGAGTGTAACTTCAACATGGCAGAAAGTAAAAATGATGAAATATGTTGGGCGTAATAATAATATATTTATTTTAAAAATAAATTTAATAAAGTTTTTGCCCTTGTTCTGCCAACATCTTATCCCATCCTGTGAAGAGCAGGCTCAACATTGCCACTCAAAACCCAACTGCAGCCTAGGAAAAAGTTGCACTGATGAGATTACAGTGTGAAGTGGACCCTGATTGTCTGGAAGTGTCTCTTGCATGACAACAGTTACTGAGCCTGAATCTAAGGCTGAACAGGCTCTGCCCCAGTTTTCCTATTAGACCTTTCTAGTTCTCTTATAGGTTTTCTAGCAATAAAGATGTATAGCTACTAGCTTCAGCATTGTGGGAATCCAACAGGAGGACAAGTAGTGTTTTTAATTTATATATATTTGAAACTTGGAATAGTTTAATAGGTTTCTGATTTCATTCACTTGAAAAACTTACTGTGAATTGTTACAATATAGATTAAAAGTCAGCCTTGAAAACGAAGACATTTTAAAATCTTATTTAAAAAAAATGAGTTCAGCATTGATTGACCTGAAATCAGGGTTCTAATTCCTTTTTCTCTTCCTGTTATGTTAGTAAATTGTCATTTTATAAATCTGTATCAAGAGTCCAATGTATTGTGATTTGTAAAATAAGATTAAATGAGATTTTATGGAAATTCTTTGTTCAGTGCATTGATTTTTTTTTGAACTGGAATATTTGGGTCAATATTAAGGGAGGGAAATGACATTGCCATAGGTGTGTACTATAGGCCACCCAACCAAACAGAGGTAATAGATGGAATTTTTTGCTAGTCAGCTAAGTAAGGTATGTAGGAAGCACGTCACAATAGTAATTGGGGACTTTAATTACCCTGACATCAACTGAGAGACAAACTCTGCACCAAGTGGAAGATCAAACAGGTTCCTGACAAGCCTAGCAGACACCTTTATCTCCCCAAAAGTAGAGAAAGGAAGTAGGGGATCATCCATATTGGACTTAATTCTCACTAACAGAGATGAAATGACAGAAAGTGTTGAACTAACAGGAAACTTGGGGGGGGGGAGTGATCATGCAATATTGGAATTCAACATTATGCAAGCACAAACAATAGAACATAGTCAAACTAGAATCTTGGACTTTAAAAGAGCTAATTTCAATAAACTTAGAGCTTGCAAGGATTCCATGGATGAGAATCCTTAAGGAGAAAACAACTCAAGAAGCTTGAGAAATTTTGAAAAGTGAAATTATAAAAGTCCAGTCTAGCACAATACCAACGAAGAAGAAAAATAATAGCTCTCAGAAGAAACCAGCATGGCTACATAAAGAGTTCTCTGATAAATTGAAAGACAAAAAGAACAAGTATAAAAAGTGGAAAGAGGGGCACATAACTAGGGCAGAATATTAGCAAATAGCCCGAATCTGCCAAGATGAAGTGAAGAAACTTAAGGCTCAAAATGAACTAAGGCTTGTAACAAAAGTAAAAAATAACAAAAAAATCTGTTTTCAACATGTAAAAAACAAGAAAAAATTCAAGGAAACAATTGGTTCATTAGTAAGAGAAAGTGGCAAGAAGGTAACAGACAACAGGGAGAAAGAACTACTTGTTTTTTGCATCCGTCTTTACACAAGGGGAAAAACAGTCCAACCTATCAAAAATAGTACTGTAAAAAACAGAAACACAAGTTAAGATAGGCAAGAAAATGGTAAGTGTCCACCCTAGACAAGTTGAAATCACCAGGACCAGATGGATTACACCCCAAGGTTCTGAAGGAACTGGCAGATGTAATCTCAGAACCACTGAACTATATCTTTCAAAGACCCTGGAGCACCGGGGAACTACCAGAGGACTGGAAAAGAGCTGATGTAGTTCCCATCTTCAAAAAAGAAAAAAATAGATCCAGGAAACTATAGACCTATGAGGCTAACCTCGATACCTGGGAAGATTCTGGAAAAGATAATCAAGCAACAAAACAATGAACATCTACAGGCAAACAAAGTCATAACCAAAAGCCAACTCTGTCAAAAACAGATCATGCCAGACAAATCTGATTGCATTCTTCGACAAGGTGACAAAATTAGTGGACCAGAGGAATGCTGTGGATATCATTTACTTGGACTTCAGCTAGGCATTTGATAAAGTAGACCATAACCTACTACTAGATAACGTAGAAAAAAGTGGGTTAGAAGGCATCACGACCAGATGGATTCGTAACTGGCTCACCAACCATACTCAACGTATAGTCCTCAATGGAGCTGCATCTACATGGAGGGAAGATTGCAGTAGGTACCCCAAGGCTCTGTTTCAGGCCTAGTATTCTTCAACATCTTCGTCAATTATTTGGATGAGGGGATAGATGGGTAACTCATCAAATTTGCAGATGACACCAAGCTGGCAGGAATAACCAACA